AAAAAAAAAAAAAAAAAAAGTAACTAACAAACACTATCTGCTTTTAGGAACTCATCAGTTTTTAGTGATAAGCATCATATCTATCCTACGGATGATTTTAGCATTTATCTACAATTATCGAGTTGCTCGTTTAGGCAGAATGCTTATAATGGTTTGAAGAAACCAAAGAACTAAAGAAAAATTTCCCTGGATGTGCTCGCAGCCCCTTCTAGCTCCCTTCCAGCTCCAAAACCTTGTGCATAAAGCTGTACAGTGATGGCCAAACTCAGTCTGAACATCAGTCTCCATCCCAACCAAGCTTCCTTCCAGGAAGAGGGAGGGAGCTAAGCAGACAGCTCCGGGGAGAAGCAGTGGGCGCCCTGGGGTGGTCCGGCTGAGAGCTAATGTCCAGAAGCCTCACATCTGCGAGGTGAGTGCCTGTCCCCATCCTACTGAAAGAACTGTAGCTTGAGAATTGCCCTCTGCTTCAGCATTGTGTACACCAGCTGTCCACAGTATCCACTGGCAGAAACCAAAGCGGCCAGAGCATTTATTTATCGAGGGCAAGTAACAAAACCTGGAGAGGCAATGCGGGCTGTTCCGTACGTCACAGAAACCGTCAAGAGAACAAATCAAATGCTGCTTCTAGCTCCAAATAATGAGATTTAAAATTTTGTCTCTTCCGACGCCTTTAATTGGCTACACTGGTATTACTTTTGCAAATAAACTTTCCAACAGCAACAACCAAAGCAAAGAAAATATCCTCAAAGTAACGAGATCAAAGACAAACAGATGAAAGAACTTTCTCCATGTGTTCAAGTGGATGCCTGGTAACTGCTCAGTTAATTTCCTGTTTACATTTTTTAAACTCATGGTTTTTCATTAAAATGCTTTCCCGGGCAGATTTCTGTACCCCAGCTTTCCAAGAGTTCTTGGAGCCAGCAGACCTCTCAGCCCATGCCGTTGAAAGCAAATCCATTATCTCTGTTTCTAACCGATCGAAAAATTCTTTTCCGTGAATTGCCAAACAGTTTATGGTTTTCTTAATGTGCCCATTAAAGCTGGTAAATTACAGGATCGCACGTCTCGGAGGCTGCCAGCGGTTTAAATCGAGTGAGAAGACTGGAGCGCGATTAGACCGCGGCGGCGAGTACTCCCTCCGCCCCTCCAAGGCGCAGTTTTCCTTCCCTCCGCTTCCACAGATAGGATGAGTTTCTGGGGCGCCCCTCCCCGAGGGCCCTGTGACCGCGGCGCCCGGGCTCTGGGG